ATCCAGCCCTCCTGGCGGCGGGGAGAGGAGGCGGGGGCGGGGACTGCCCGGGGTTCGGGGGCAGCCGTGCCCTGGGGGAGCAGAGACTCAAAGCGAGAGCGGGAGCGGCCCAGCTGCCGGGGGATGGTCGGGACTGACACGCCTCTAGGACCTACAGCGAGCTCCTGTGGGGTTTTGCAGTGCTCTTGTTCCTTTGCTTACACAGGGCGCTTGATGCGCGTGTGTGTGTGTTTCTGTTTTGCAGATCGCTCTTATATGAGATTAACAGAAAAGGAAGATGAAACGTTGCCCATAGATGTAAGTTTGAGTTTTTATAGCGTTTGAAAGGTGTAAGGCTGTGGGGATAGTTTAGTCTCTCTCAGTTGCTTTTTTCTTAATGTGATAGGCAAGAATAAAGGGTAAAGTAGTTTTTAAATTGTGCTTTCATTTGAGCTCCCTCTGTCAAAAAGAACCGTATTTTCTACCCCAACTTCCTGCGGTGTGTTCTGTCGGTCAGAGAGAGCGAACCCCAGGTCCAGACCTCCCTCTCCTTCTTCAGAACTACCCTGAAGCGTCTTCTCCAGGAATTCCCTGAACGGAGCTCAGAGAGCTTTTGCATTCATCTCCTTCTTTGCAGCATAAACATCCTCCTCCCTCTGGCTTGTGTTGGCTGACATTTGTTTATCCAGTGTGGCTGCGTGCCCGTTTGATCCCAGCACAACCTGCTTCAGGAAGGGGGGGGGGGTATTTGTTTTATTTGCTTGTTTTTTAAATTCCACTTCGACTATTATCTGTTCCATTTTTGCTTAACCGGAAGGGTGAGGAGGTCAAATACCCACGACAGCCGGGCACGGCGTTTGGACCGAGCAGCAGCTGCCACCGCTGCACAGCATGTGCTGGCAGCCAGCTCGTTTCTCGGGGAGCGTATTAGATCCTTAAGCGCACAAGAACACAGTGTTTTGTTCTAAGGATCTTGCTGAGGAGCCGTGTGAATCAACGCAATCCGTGCAACGCAGACCGGTTGTCAGGCAGCTGAAGCTCTTCTCGGCTCTGCCACCGTTTTGCCGTGCTAAGTAGGCGGCGTGTTTAATCTTCCCGTGCCTCAGTTTCCCTACTGCTGAATTGCCCACCTCTCTAAAGCACTTACTGTCACTGGATGAAAAGCACAAGAGACACTGTTTGAAAGATGAGATTCTCTGGTAAATATTAAGAACGTTAAGTAATGAGTGTGTTGCATTGTGCTTCCCTCTGTTACAGATAGTTCTTCAGACCCTGTTAGCCTTTGCAGTTACCTGCTATGGGATAGTACATATCGCAGGAGAATTTAAAGACATGGATGCCACTTCAGAACTAAAAAATAAGTATGTTTTATTTCTTCTTTTCATAAACGCCTGTATCTGCTACTCTCTGTACAAACTGAACACTGTGAAATAGCTCGCTCTCTAGCTCGGTTCTTCTCAAATGCGCGTTGTAGACAATAACACTGAGAGGGACAGCCACACCTGGGAAAGCCAAGAATGTCTTGGATTTCAGAGAGAGTTAGGTAACCGGAACAACTTAAATAAACTTCTTGCTTTTCCTCATCCAAAATCCTGCTGTGCAGAGTTGGTAGAGGAATGAAATGTCTACGCGGGAAGTAAGAGCTCAGCAGTCACAAACTGCTGTCCTGAGATGGTCTCATAGACTACGGGGCGGTACGCTTGGCTCGCCCTGCTTGTCTTTGCTTCTCTACAAGAGTCTGAATTATTTGAGCCTCACACTGAACCTCTCAAGGCAGAATATCTGACAGACTTTAAGAAAATAAGGGATTTTCAATCGAGATTTTGAAAAGGATATGAAATTGGATGGGCAGACGCAGCCCCTCTGGCCATTTCGAAAAGCACAGGGGAATATGGGAAGTAAACAAGTTGACATTGTTGTATTTCATAGCGTTTACCTAAAACCCTTAGCTTCAGGCACAGAAAGCTGACAGTAAACAGCGTCCAGGTATTAACAGAAGTGACAGCTGAACTAAGGCTGGCACATTTGGTACGTGTGCGTGCAGTAACCCACAGGCCTGCCCCTAAGCTCAAGGAAGGAAGGTGAAGTTTGTCTGTGGGGTGGACAGCCTCTGCGTATTGAGCAGTGGGTATTTTTCACGCTTGGCTTTGTATTTCCTCTGTGTTTCAGTTTAGGAAACTTGTAAAATGAGCAAGAGTTTTGGATTCAAAACTTGTATTTCCGTGTCTGTAAAAGTTGGTATACCCTAGACTGACTCTTCTAAAACCCCTGCTCTAAGAGAGTATTAACGTCGACTTTTTACATTTATTTTGAAGGACGTTTGACACATTAAGGAACCATCCGTCTTTTTATGTATTTAATCATCGTGGTAGAGTATTGTTCCAGTCCCCAGACACAGTGAATTCTTCTTCAAACCAAGATGCTTTGTCATCCAGCTCGTCACTGAAATTTCGAAAACTTGAACCTCTGCGCCGCTAAGACTTTTACAGATTATAGTAATAATCCAGGACACTGAGATGTAATATTCAAGTCGGGGATGTAAACACTTTTTTAATTTCTGGAGCAGTATTTATATTGATCTTCCAGACTTTATAAAGTATATATATATAAACTAAGGACCTTCTTTGTACACTGTTAATGAAAATGACTGAATTGTGAATTGGCAATGCAGTGTAAATTATTCTACAGTTATGCTGTGAAACACATCTTCAAATTTTCATATATTAAAACAAGTTGCAGCTGAGTTAACTTCAGTTAAAACAAAAAGCAAGCTAGTTTTTACTGCAGTTAATGTTCTTTGACAAGAGGGAATGTTCGAGTGCTATTTATTTTCTCAGTTTGCTTGCACTACAGTTTATGGAACTCCTTCAGAAATCCTGTGTGCACTGCATCACTTAACAGCAGAAAAAGGGGCAGCGTCTCCTGTTCCTAGAATGCCTAGGAGACCTGCATGGTGTAGGCACGGGAAGTCAAAAAGATTGCTTTCATTTTTATTTTTTTACAATGCTGAAAAATAGTTGTGTGAAGGGTTTGGTTGGTTGTTTTTTTTTTTCCTAGTTTTTCATTATCACGTTATCTCCTTGTTGCCCTCCTTCGTTTAAATGTAAACTGCCCTATGTTGCCCCAAGTTGCCTGGGATGTGGCTGTACATTTGGTGCCTGTGGGGGGGAGGCAGCTCACGTCTGATCACGTAGATAATCTGCCATGCTCAGCTTGTTTACCCACTGTATTTGTGTTCTCTTTGGTTGTGAATACGGGAACGTTCATCGGATGGCCGAGTGCTGCGTTGGCACCAGACACAAGTTCCCGAGTCATCTCCTACGAGAAGTATTTTGCTGTCAGTAAGAAATACCCATTCTGTCAGTGGTCCAGGGGTAGGGTCCAGCAGCTAGGTCTGTTTGCTGGCACTAGCACAGTACAGGTGATCAACCGGTCATGGTACAACTACCCCCTTTTCTGCCGACAGAGCCTTTCAATTTGATTTCTTTTTTCCAGCTGAGCCCTTCGTTGATTTAAGATTACTGTCCTGATTTCATGATGATACAGTCCATAACTCTTACTGACGCCTAAATTCTGATCTCCCCTTAGGGGCTGAATCAATGCTAAAATTTCTCACGGTCTGGCATTTCACCTACCTGACGTAGCAAAGGGATGGTAGTTCGAGATACTGATGGGGCCAGCTAGAATTTTGCCTAGTCTGAGGATGTCTCACTGCCGCTGTGGAAATTCAGCCTTTTGTCCTAGCATCTGTTTTTTTTTAAACTCTTAAGAACTGTCAAAGGCAAAAAGCTTAGCAAAAATCCTATGTAAACCGAAGCCTCTTTTTCTAGCTCTGCCCGTCCTATGGAGTGGGTGCCCCAGTGCTAGAGCAATATCTGTAGCTGCTGCTCTACAATCACTCTTAAGCATCTGGGTTTGGTTAGAAAGGGTTACTCTGCCAGCTGAAAGCGTCTGAGCTGCTGGATTACTTCCTAAAGTGTCCTGGTTCCCCCCTAGCTGGTGTCACAAATCAGCTCATGCCAGCTGCTGTCACCAAAGGCCTCAAAAATAGTAAGTCAGCTCTCTATTGCGGACAGAGCTCTTTCCTTGGGGAAGAGGGCTGCTGTGCGGCAGTCACTGCATGGAGGAAACGGCTGAACATCGGCCAGGTGACCTTGTGAGGCGCAGAGGAAAGACGGAATTAGCGGAGGGAGGGAGAAGCAAGGCAGAAGGTCAGTAACCACTGTACCAGACTGATACTGCAACTGTGGTTGGCAGTGAGCCATTTGCAGAGGGTCTCTTAGAGCAGGGCTGCTCACCCTTAATGTCTAAGAAGCCCCATTTGTGCTACCATAAGGCTACGTGGACCTGCCCGAGGCAGAAGGTGCTGCTGTGGGACAGGGTGAGCGGAGAACATCACCTGCTTCTCAGAGCAGGTCCTGCTAGGAACACCCTGTTAGCTGCATCGGGTCTCTTCTCGTGACAAGTAGCCTTACTCTTTCAGCAGCAATGGTTATATCACAAAGCTGTACAAATTATTTTTTCTTATTGATCTCGCAATGTCCAATAAAAATCGATATCCTTAAAGTGTTTGGGAGTTAATTTGTTTATTTCTGACCATCCTGGAGCCTGCCGCAGCAAATCCCTGATGACTGAACGTTTAAAAATGACTGCCTAGCATTGACAAGGATTGCCGTAATGACGGCAGCTCTGTGTGAAAGTGCGTGCCTGGCCTGGTGTTCATTACTATGAGATAAGATCAGTAGGGGGAATCAAAATAGCATGCTACAAGTAGCTAAACAAAACATTTATAGGGAAGTGTTACCAGCCTGGGGATCTGCCTGCCTTTGAGATCCCTAGTCAACATATCTGGCAGAGCTGGCGTATTTTCTGTCTTCCATTTAACCATAGTAAAGGCTTTTCTACCATGTGCTCATCCCCTGCCAGCCCACGGGACAGGCTCCTGCAAGGTCTGGTATTGCAACAGTTGCTGGGGGAAACACTCGGCCTACTCTGGGCTTGAGATGATAGTTAAAATCTTGGACTTGAGCAAGATCGCTTTTCACTCCCTGTTCTGCTTTTCCACTGGGGGAGGTTGAAGAGTTAGCAAAGAACTAGAGGAGTTTGCTTAACTACGGCATCCATCGTGATTGCACCAGAGAGCGCAGCAGACTCACCCTTCGTCTGCTTACTGCGCTGCTGCAGCCGTCTGCCTCCGGCACTGAATATGAGGGTGTAAAAAAAACAATAATCAGTGTTTTAAGGAAGGGGCACCTTAACCAGCTCCCAAAGCTACCTTGTGCTTACCTTGCAACGTGCAGTTCTTCACAGGTGAGCTTCCCTTCTTCAAAAGCAAAACAAAAGTTGTGCCAAGAGCTTCTTGGATTGGACCGAAGAGTTTCCAGCCTCGCCCAGCGCACATTTACTGCCATCACACCTTGAATTGCTTTGACTACAGGACGTGACGTTTCTACTACATTAAATACTAAAAAAAATACACTGGCAAATTGCATTCGTTGCCGGAGTAGCAGGTTTAGCCTATATTAACTTTGCTATTTTCTCCACTCTTCCTCACCAGCCAGTGAGAGTGCAGTGGGGAATTTTTGTTTCTTTAAAACCAAGGAGGGTAGCAGTTGTTTAGACCCTCACAAGGTGAGGAGATGGGGACCACGGTTTGTGTCGGAGACCGTTCACTGTCTCTGCTCTTTCCGAATCAGAGACTGGGGTGGAAGCGCAGCTGGCAGAAATCTCTTTTCCTAGAGAGTTCAGTGAGGGCTGAACCGTAGCACCGCTTGTGAAAATAACTCCTGATCACACATGTCTGACAGTGGCAGAGGAGCTTTGTGCTTCCCCTCCACGCGTCAGCAGAGACAGAGCGTGCTGGAGCCATCGCTGCAGTGTAAGAAAGCGAAGTGCAGCTGTGATACCCGTTAGCATTGCTTGTAAAGTGTGAGGCCGGTGTGCCCTCTCCCCACTGCTGCCAAGCGCTGGATTAAAGCTTTCTCGGGAAAGCCGGTGGCTAACGGCCCCTTCCCGGTGCTCTGGAGCACCAATGCAGCCGCCTCCCTGGAAAAAGCAGGGAATAGCAATGACTTTCTAACTCTAAATTAATTTTGGCTTCCTTATCACTTACATCTCATGCTTTGGGTTCCCTCGCCCTCCACCACGCCGCAGCAGAGCTGCCCTTCTCTGTCTCCAACACCTTCAGTGAGGACATTAGCTATGGGGACATCCTCCAGCTGGCTACAGCCACCTCCCCCGAGAGTGGCACCGTTTCTGCTCTTTTTTGGGGGTCACCTGCACCAAAAGGCAGCAATTTTCCACCAGACGATTCGGAAAGGCTGAGGCTCGCCCCGCACCACCCAGGGGCTGCGGCGCTGCCCCCGAGCTCCCTGTGGGAAGCCCCCCCGTCCCTCACCCCCCCAGCCTCGGTGGGGCAGGGAATCTGCAGCTCGCTTTGCAGTTCCCTGCTGTCCTAGCCAGTGCCTGCGCCGAGCTGGCAGGCTGCCTGCGCAGAGGGGAAGGGCGAAGAGAGGCTATTTTGAATGTTAAACAAGCAGAAAAAACTTTGGTACCAGCTTTCCACGGCCGGCACTAGCAGTGAAGGCAAAACACTCCTTTGATTTGGCCTTGAGGTTCACCTTGAAGCCGTAATCAGCTGGGGGAGAACCACGGCGGAAATAAATCTGGTATTCCAGCAGGTAGAAGACTTTTAATCAGCCCCACATTGGTCTCAGTAATACAATGTCATTTCAAAACACTTCAGACTGCAACAAAAGCTACATCCTTAAAATGGCAGCTAATAAATTTTCCTGTCCTGCTAACTTAATCCTTTTTCCAGCCAAGAAAGGCAAATGGGAGTTCACGAAGCAGCGAGGCAGCCAGGAGCCTGGCAGCGCGAGCAGGAACACAAGCCCCAGGGCTCTTTGGCAGGGGCCCAGGCTGTGTGGTGTCACAGCTTAACAGGCCATTTTCAAAGGAAGGGGGAGAGAAAAAAAATTTTTAAAGGTGACATTTGGATTATCGAACCAATGGTTCATCCTATGCTAGTGGTCCCGGGGAACCCACAGACCCCCACACAGATAGACACGGCTATTTACTCCCGGTTCACAGCCCTAGTGTAACCCTTGCTGCCAGGCACAGCACCCGGCACTGGCAGTGCCCTCCCTGCCCGTACTGATGCTGGCTAAACCAGTTTCCTGGGGATTAGCCGGAGGCACACCATGCTGCAGGAGGACTTCACTTAGGATTTAAAAAAAAAATTAAAAAATTAAAAAAGAAAAAATCCCCCCTCCTCCCGGAATGTACTTCTGCTGTGTATTTTAGAGCAGTTCAGGGCCAGCCACGCAAGGCCAGTGCTGACATCCTCCGAGCCCCAGGCTGCCCCAGCATCCTCCATCCCCAGGAGGTCTCTGCTGCAGCGCAGGATGCAGGAAGAGCGCCCAGTGCACACAGCAAATGCTGAAGCAGCAATTTACTCCCCCGTCCCAGATGCAGAAACGCACAAAGCAAGACACTTGCATCAAAAAGCAGTTTTGGAGGAGCCAGTTGGGCAGGCGCTCCAAAGAGCAGCTCACTTCCCCAGGTCCACACGAAGCTGCCGCTCCCAGGGACGTGACCGGAGCCTCCAAGGCATCCGCAGGCCTGGGCTCAGCCCCGGTGAGGGCAACCCCACAGTAAGGTATCACCTCCCCAGCACAATGCGAAGCACACGGGAGAGAAGGGGCCAAGTAATCCCCCCTCCTCCAAGACCACCATGCTGCTTCTGGTTTGCAGCCCACCATCACATACAGATCTCTGCCCAGGGACCTTGGTGAGAGCAGCGCCATTTCAACGTAGAAGTTACCACCACTTTGAAGCAGAAGCCGGCTGCTACTTCAATACCTGTTTGAATACAGCAGCCTCAGATCACAAAGGAAAAGCCACAGCAGAGCGAGACCTACATTCATCTCACGTGAGAGGGACCCACATATCCTATGGGGTGCAACAGGGCTGGTTAATAAACCCAGGTCTACTGCAAGTACAGCCATGCTGCTGCCTTGGGTTGGCCAGGGCTGGCAGGAGAGGACAACCTCTGAAAGGGACAGGCCGAGATGTCTCCCAACCTGGTATGATGTGAGCAGCGGTCAGGGCAGGTCTGCAAGGCGCTCTCCTCTCTGCCTTTGCTTCTCACGCTCAAGCAGTAACTGCAGAGCTTGAAAGGGCCAGAAATTGAGGCTCAGCCCCGCCACGTTCTGGGGAGCAGAGCACTGGGGGATACAACACGGATCAGCTAATATGCAAGTTAAGACAGGAGGACTGAAAAAAAAGAGGCGAGTCATGTCAGATGCAGTTCCAGGATGAGCAGCGCAAGCCATCCATCAGCACGGCACCACGACACCCCGCTCGCAAGGCACCAACTCCAGCCGCACACTGAGCGTGTCCCCAAAGACACTGTCTTGGTGCAGGTTTCTACCTTTCTGAGGAGCTCCCCATCTGCATGTCCGTTGCCATTTTCAACCTCTTACTGGTTTCCTATTGTGGTTAAGAGCAGCCCCTCTCATTTCCTTGCTTTCACAGCCCCTTCTTGCCTCAACAGAGCGGTCACACTGAGTCCAGGGGTGCAAGGCAGACCTTGGGAAGGAGAGCCCGCTCTGCTTACACCTGCAGGAACGCAGGATTTGGCCACCCAGAACCAAGACAAAAAACAGCTTTCAGCTGCCCCGCAAGGTCAGAGCCTCCTCGGGGTCCTGTTGTGTGCACTTCTGGAAAGAGCCATCACTCAACCAGCCATCACTCAACTTATTATCCAGCAACAGTTTCCCATCACAGTCCGGGCCGTGACTCACCAACAACCACCTTTCCTCAGGGGAACTCACGGCCAGTCCCCAGGAGTCAGTCTCACCCCATTTCACGTGCTGCAAGCTGCGGGGATAGCTGCAGCAGCAGCTCAGCGAGCAGCCTTCCCCGCATCTCTCGCCAGCACGCCGAGCCCCGGCATGGCCTGCCTGCATCTGGCTCCTGGCAAGCCAAACGCTGCCGCCGCAGCGCTGGAAGTGCCACGCATTCGTATTCCTATTTTCTAACAACACTCCTGCAGGAGGATTTGCTGAACGCAATGCACTTAAAACAGCCTCTTCCAGAGCTCGTCAGTCCCCCACCGTCGCCTTTTCCACTAACGATCATTTTGGATAGCAGCTTCTATGCTCTGCCTGCTTCTCCTTGGCAGAGGGAGGAGCCCTGAATCCGGGGATGCCAGAGGAATTTTAAAATACACTTTTACATGGCTGAGAAAGAAAAGGTGCCGGAGCAGCTCAGGTCAGAAGCCAGAATTCGACTTTAAAGAAGAGGCAGTAACACCACGAGTGCCTACAGGCTTGGGCGACTTCTCTACAGCCTTCCCACCTCCCTCTTTCTGAGCTGCCGCTTTTTTCCAGCCCCAGAAGCGCACGTCTGGCAAAAGGCACCCACTTCAGCCACCTCCGCATGGAAGCCAGCCGTGGGGAGCCTGTCCCATTCCCACCCCATGCTCCCCCCGTGCCAAACCCACGCTGGCAGGTCGGAGAGCACAGGGAGGAGCCCACCGACATGCACAAGAGCCCAGCAGC